ATATAGATATATAAATATATATAGTAATTATACATACATGCCACATTTTATATATATAGAAAAATATGACCTGTATATGTGTGTATGTGTATGTATAATACATGTCACATCATATATATATATATATATATATATATATATATATATATATATAACATTTATTAAAATGTGCCATATATATATACACACACACACCACTTTAATATATAGATATAGATATATAAATATATATAGTAATTATACATACATGCCACATTTTATATATATAGAAAAATGTGACCTGTATATGTATGTGTATATATATATGTATATGTATAATACATGCCACATCTCATATCTATATATTAGGCTTGGGCAATCCATAGTTCTAAATGGTTCTAAAGTACTTACAAAACTAAAGTTCTGGTGGTGAAAATTTCAGAACTCTAACAAAACTTTCAAAATTTAATTATTATTTCATTATTGGTGATTTTATGACAGAACCAATTAGGAACTGCCATTTATTATGAAATTTTGAGAGTTTTGTTAGAGTTCTGAAATTTTCACCACCAGAACTTTAGTTTTGTAAGTACTTTAGAACTATTTAGAACCATGGATTGCCCAAGCCTAATATACACACATACACATACATATATGTGTAGTATTTATGTGTTCATTTGCTGTATTTTCACCCCGCTCTATCTCACCCTGAGCAGCTTCCAAATTGGTAATAATTCAATGCCGTACACACATAACGTATAAATACAGTATACACATACATTAAGATCAATACAAATTAAAAAGCATGGCATCAATACATTAAAATCAACTATTAAAACCACGTAAAATCCGAGTCGAACAAAATGCACACCACTAGTAAATAGTTGTACATAGGCAACTCCTAAAAACGTTTGGATGAAAGCCAGAGCTCAAGTGTGGTTATTAAAGCGGTGTGTGTATATATGTATATGTATAGTGTGTGTGTGTGTGTGTATATATATATAGTAATTATACATACATGCCACATTTTATATATATAGAAAAATGTGACCTGTATATGTGTGTGTGTGTATGTATAACACATGCCACATCATATATATCACATTTATATATAAAAATGTGGCATGTATATATATATACACACCACTTTTATATATATATATATATATATATATATATATATATAGTAATGATGCATACATGCCACATTTTATATCTATACAAAAAATGTGACCTGTATGTGTATGTGTGTATATATATATGTATAATACATGCCACATCATATATATATATATATATAGTAATGATGCATACATGCCACATTTTATATCTATATATAGTAATGATGCATACATGCCACATTTTATATCTATACAAAAAATGTGACCTGTATGTGTATGTGTATATATATATATATATATATATATATTGTATAATACATGCCACATCATATATATATATATATATAGTAATGATGCATACATGCCACATTTTATATCTATATATAGTAATGATGCATACATGCCACATTTTATATCTATACAAAAAATGTGACCTGTATGTGTATGTGTGTATATATATATATATATGTATAATACATGCCACATCATATATATATATATATATATATATAACATTTATATATAAAATGTGCCATGTATATGTGTATGTATACACACACACAAACACACTATATATATATATATATATATATATATATATATATATAGTGTAATTATTGTCATAGTAATGATCTCAGTACAGCAAGGCACTGAAACACATCTTCTTGTCTAAAAGCTAATTTATTAAACACAAAAAATAATATTTACACTAAAAGCTAAGCAGAATGAAAGCTTGCATCCATCTCGTGCGGCTACATGATTCATCTACACATTGTTATCTATACTCTAGCACCTCCTTACATTCCACAGTGACGTGATGACGTATGATGCTCTCTATGCTCGATGCTACACAGCGTACATAGCTCTCCACTGTAAGATTTATGACTCTAAAGGAATGCCGCTCCTCTTCATGATACAGTCAACCCTTTCCACACAGGAATTACATTCTGGCACATTGCATTACATTTCTAAGCACACAAACACTAACTTTGAAAACTACAATACACTATTTTAAAACACACATCAACAATTATACATACACGCTACATTTTTTATATATAGAAAATTGTGACCTGTATATGTAAATATATATGTATAATGCATGCCACATCTCATATAGATATACATGTGGCGCATATATATATATATATATATATATATATATATATATATATATAGTAAATTATATATACACACTACATATATATGTATAATGCATGTGGCATTATACATGTGGCATGCATTATATATATGTATAATGCATGCCACATCTCATATATATATATACAAGTGTGGCATATATATATATATATATATATATATATATATATATAGTAAATTATATATACATGCCATATTTTATATATATAGAAAAATGTGACCTGTATATGTGTGTATATATGTGTGTGTATGTCTAATACATGCCACATCATATATATCTGTATAATAATTATATATACATGTCACACACACATATATATATATGCTACATTTATTTATAGTATATCCATTCTACATCAGCAATCAGAATGAGAGCAGAAAGAGAAACAGAGCGAATAAATAGATGCATTCCAACTGTCATTCAGTCGTCAAAGGGGAAGAGATTTCCTCACCTTGTTCTAAAGCAAACTCACTGTTCCTCATTGAGGACTGCACACTTGGGCAGTGTGGGTTTTAATTTCAACATATGCCTCTCTCTCTCTCTCTCTATATATATATATATATATATATATATGCTACACACATGTATACATATGTATATGTTTGTATGTATAATTATATATACACGCCACCTTGTATATATCTATATATCCGTATAATAATTATATTTATCTACACATATAACTGAAGTCATTCATATATATATATATATATATATATATATATATATATATATATATGTCAAATATAATGTTCGACAACATATATATATATATATATATACACACACACATATACATATATGTGTGTGTGTATATATATATATACATTTACAACATATAAATGTCGTAAATATATGCGCACACCCATATATATGTATATGTATGTGTGTGTATATATATATATATATATGCATATATATTTACTACATTTATATGCTGCCCATCTCACCTGGAAGGGGACTCAGAGCGGCTTACAAGTAATATGTAAATACAATATATTATATTTTTAGCATAGCACAATATTAGTATTCTATATTACTATATTGTACTATACCACTATACTGTAATATTATTAGTAATATTACATGTAATATAAATGTATAATTATAATATATTATTATTAGTATTACATTATAAAATACTAACACCACCACCAACATATTGTACTATACCATTATACTGTAATATTAGTAATATTACATGTAATATAAATATATAATTATAATATCACATTATTATTAGTATTATATTGTATTACATTATAATATACGCCACCAACAACATATTGTACTATACCACTGTAATATTTTTAGTAATATTACATGTAACATAAAATATATAATTATATCATATTATTATTATATTGTATTACATCATAATATACTAACACCATATATTATTATTATTAGTAATATTAGTAATATTAGTAATAATATTATTATTAGTAATATTACATGTAATATAAAAATATATAAAATATATAATTATAATATCGTATTGGCGGAACCCTCCCAATCCAAATGATATAATTATATATATTACATGTGATATTACTAATATATAATTATAATATCATATTGGGGGAACCCTTCCCAATGCAAATGATAGAACTATATTATATATATATTATATTACATGTGATATTACTAATATATAATTATAATATCATATTGGGGGAACCCTTCCAATGCAAATGATAGAACTATATTATATATATATTATATTACATGTGATATTACTAATATATAATTATAATATCATATTGGGGGAACCCTTCCAATGCAAATGATAGAACTATATTATATATATATTATATTACATGTGATATTACTAATATATAATATATATATAAAAAATATTACATGAAATATATAAAATATATAATTATATTATTATTAGTATTATATTGTATTACATCATAATATACTAACACCACCACCAACATATTGTACTATACCACTGTAATATTTTTAGTAATATTACATGTAATATAAAATATATATAAAATATAGAATTATAATAGCATATTGGGGGAACCCTCCTAATGCAAATGATATAATTATATATTTTATATATATTTTATATTACATGAAATATATAAAATATATAATTATAATATCATATTTTTATTAGTAGTATTATGTTGTATTACATCATAATATACTAACACCAACAACAATATATTGTACTATACCATTATACTATAATATTATTAGTAATATTACATGTAATAGAAATATATAATTATCATATCATATTATTAGTTGTAGTATTATATTGAATATAATATAATATAATAAATATAATATAATTAATATGATATGATATAATATAATAATATAATAAATATAATAAATATAATATAAAATATAATATAATATAATATAATATAAAATAAAATATAATATAATATAATATAATATAATATAATATAATATAATATAATATATAATATAATAAATATAATAAATATAATAAATATAATAAATATAATATAATATAATATAATATAATATAATATAATATAATATAATATAATATAATATAATATAATATGTATACTCAGACATAAGCCAAAGCAAAGGGTTCCTGATGCCTTGATTGGCCAGGGAAGACAATTCATGCATTCACGCTGCTGTTTCCAAGGCAGCCGGTAGGTGGCAATAAAGAGCGTGGGAAGAGCGCCTCCAAGCGCATGCGCAGCCTCTCCAGCGAGGAGACTAAAAGGAGGCGTGGCTTAAAGAGCGGAGGCGGGTCCCGCTCAGCGGAGAGGAGGCGTCCCTTCGCGGCTTCCGTAGCTTCCTTCCTTCCGCTTCCAAGATGGCGAGCGCGGCCAAGCGGGCCAAGATGGCGTCCGGAGAAGGAGCCCTGGCCGCCTTCCTGGCCTGGGCCGAGCGGGAGGGCCTCCGGGTCAGCCCCAAGGTGCGGGACCCTCCCTGCTGGGTGTCCCCTTGTGTAGGCACACTCTTGCCCCCGGGTTAATTGAGAAAAGCGTGTGAATTGTCCAAAACGCATCAGGTTGTGGGTGAACTACAACTCCCACCGTGCCAGGGTCACGCCCTAACACTCCCTCAGGGCTTAAAGTTTGGCATCTTGGGCAAGTTTGCTCTGGAAGCATCAAGGGAGGGGTTCAGTGTGCTCTCTGGCCACAGGGTGAACTACAACTCCCACTGTGGTGAGCCAGGCCTCTTAAACCCCCTCCAGTAGGTAGAATTAGTCCAAGTTTGGTCCAAGTCTTCTGTGTGCCCAGGGGGGAGCCTCTTATTTGGTATCAGCCATGGATTGAGGTGCTGGGTTTGAGCCTGCCACTTTTGGACTCTCGCTTGCTGAGGTGTTCCAGCAAGTGTCTCTGTAGATCTAAGAAAACTGTGTCTTGATTTAAGTCGTTGACGTGCTGGCTGAGACCCAAACGGGATGAGCTGGAGATGTCTCTGCCTTGGTCCTTTCACTATTGGCTGCTACTTCCCGGCGGATGTCAGGTGGTGCAATGCTGGCTAAACAGTGTAGTTTCTCCAGTGGTGTAGGGCGCAGACACCCTGTGATAATGCGGCATGTCTCATTAAGAGCCACATCCACTGTTTTATGTGGTGAGGTGTGTTCACATTGGGCATGCTACTCAGCAGCAGATAGCAAAGCGCAAGGGCAGATGTTTCACTGTATCTGGTTGTGATCCCCAGGTTATGCCAGTAAACTTTCGTATGATATTGTTTCTAGCACCTAATTTTTGCTTGATGTTCAGGCAGTGCTTCTTGTAGGTAAGAACACGATCCAGAATGACTCCCAGGTATTTGAGTGTGTGCAATGCTCCAGTGGGATTCCTTCCCAGGTAATCCTCAGAGCTCGGGATGCTTGTCTGTTCTTGAGATGAAAGGCACATGTCTGTGTTTTAGATGGGTTGGGGATCAGCTGTTTTTCCCTGTAATAGGCAGTAAGAGCACCTAGAGCTTCGGAGAGCTTCTGTTCAACCATCTCAAAGCTCCCTGCTTGAGCGGTGATGGCACGATCATCAGCATAGATGAAACTCTCTGTCCCTTCTGGCAGTGGCTGGTCATTTGTGTAGATGTTGAACATGGATGGAGCAAGCACGCTCCCACTATGGTGAGCCAGGCTTTTCAAACCCTTTCTAGTAAGTAGAATTAGTCCTGGGGGTTCTGTGTGCCAACTACATCATCCACAGAGGTCCCTTTCTCTGGTTGTGGGTGAACTACAACTCTATTTATTTGTTTACGACGTTGATATGCCGCCCTTCTCACCCCAAAGGGTGAACTACAACTCTGTTTATTTATTTATGACATTTCTATGCCGCACTTCTCACCCCAAAGGGTGAACTACAACTCCCAGTGTGGTGAGCCAGGCCCCTCAACCCCCCCCCCCCCCAAAGTAGTGGGACCTTGAGTTTTGGAGTTGTAGTTCAGCTACATCCAGAGAGCACTGTGGACTCAAACAATGATGGATCTGGACCAAACTTGGCACAAATACTCCATATGCCCAAGTATGAGCACAGATGGAGTTTGGGGGAAATAGACCTTGACATTTGGGAGTTGTAGTCACTGGGATTTATAGTTCACCTACAATCAAAGAGCATTCTGAACTCCACCAATTACAGAATTGAACCAAATGTGACACATAGGACTCCCATGACTAACAGAAAATACTTAAGGCCACCCAGTCCAACTCCCTTCACCAGGGCAAGAAAACGTAATCAAAGCCCTCCTGACAGAGAGCCACCCAGCCATAGAGATAGATTGATATGATTCACACACACACATACTATCCTAGATTTGAAAGGGACCCCTAAAGAAGCACAATTTGCATGTTGCATGTTCCAGAGTAGGCCAACCAGACACTCTCCACATCAACACTGACAAATAACACCAAGAAATACTGTTTACCCACAAGCATAAGAAATTATATATATTAGAAACCAACACTTTCTCATTATTTTATTTTCCAGATCACCAGACTTGGCCACAGCAACGCGTGGCAGGGGACTGTTTATTTATTTACCTACTAGCCGTCCCCTGCCAGGCGTTGCTGTGGCCCAGTCTGGTGATCTGGAAAATAAAGTAATGAGAAAGTGTTGGTTTCTAATATATGTAATTTCTTTATGCTTGTGGGTAAACAGTATTTCTTGCTGTTTCTTTGTCAGTGTTGATGTGGAGATTGTCTGGTTTGCCCACCCTGGAACATGCAATATCATTGTCCTTCTTTAAGGGTCCCTTTCAAATCTATGATACTATATCTCTGCGTGTGTGAATCTCTCTCTCTCTCTCTATCTATCTATCTCTATGGCTGGATGGCTCTCTGTCAGGAGGACTTTGTTTACGTTTTCTTGCCCTGGTGAAGAGAGTTGGACTGGGTGGCCTTAAGTATTTTCTGTTAGTCATGGGGGTTTTGTGTGGGAAGTTTGCCCCGATTCTGTCGTTCGTGGGTTCAGAATGCTCTTTGATTGTAGGTGAACTATAAATCCCAGTAACTACAACTCCCAAATGTCAAGGTCATTTTCCCCAAACTCCATCTGTGTTTATATTTGGGCACATTGAGTATTTGTGCCAAGTTTGTTGCAGATCCATCATTGTTTGAGTCCACAGTGATCTCTGGATGTTGGTGAACCACAACTCCAAAACCAAAGGACACTGCCCACCAAACCCTTCCAGTATTTTCCCCACAGAATATACTGGAAGGGTTTGGTGGGCAGTGTCCTTTGGTTTTGGAGTTGTAGTTCACCTACATCCAGAGAGATGTACCCAAATGTTTGGTTCAATTCCCTCATTGGTGGAGTTCAGAATGCTCTTTGATTGTAGGTGAACTATAAATCCCAGCAACTACAACTCCCAAATGACAAAATCAATATTTTTGAGTGAAGGACATACATTGGGTTGTTAGGTGTCTTGTGTCCAAATTTGGTGTCAATTCGTCCAGTGGTTTTTGAGTTCTGTTCATCCCACAAACGAACATTACATTTATATTTATATAGATATGTATATTATTATTATAATTAATGATATATTCTTATGTTTGCAGGTTTGTGTGAGCAGAGAGGGCACCGTGGCGGATTACGGCCTGCTGGCGCGAGAGGACCTTGAGGCGGGAGAAGTCCTGTTCTCGGTCCCGCGGACAGCCCTCCTTTCCCAGCACACCAGCCCCTTGGCCCCCCTCCTGCAGAAAGGTACGCAGAGCAGGGGCAAATTTGACTAATTTACGAGGCCATAAAAATCTCCAGCAAGCATGCAAAGAATGAGGAAGTACTTCATCAGTGTCAGAAATGGTCAGTGAAGGGACAGCTCCCCAGGTGGCCAGAATACCCTCAAGAAAAGCTGGAATGTTAAATAGCCTCTGTGTGTCTGTCTATATATGTTGTGTGTCTATGGCAGTGATGGGCAATCTTTTGAGCTTGGTGTGTCAAAATTTGCCAAAAACTTGAGCATAATTTGGGTGGAGTGTCACTTTGAGAAAAAAACCATAATTTTGCAATATTTATAGTTTAAATAAGAAAAAAAATGTATAATCCATGCTGAGTTATGGAGTGAACTATGCTCAAATGTGCAGATGTTAAATTTAAAGATGGAATTAGATTGGCTTTTATAAGGTGTATTTCTCTGTATGTGGCCGCATGCGTCTGCGTGTCATCAAAAATAGCCATGTGTGTCAGTGCTGACACGCGTGTCATAGGTTCACCATCAGGGGTCTATGGCATTGAATGTTTGCCATGTATATGTACATTGTCCCCTGTGGGGTGAGAAGGGCGGAATATAAATATTGCAAATAAATAAATAAATTCCTGCAGCAAACAGCCTTCATCACTCTTCACGTGTTTCAGTCCTTTCCGATTTGCAGTGAAAAGAACTGTATACAGGCTGTTCTCGAAGGAAAGCTTTCATGGGTTGCTGTGAGTTTTCTGGGCTGTCTGGCTGTGTTCCAGAAGCATTCTCTCCTGACATTTCACCCACATCTATTTATTATTTATTTCATGTACTTCTAACCCGCCCTTCTCAACCCCCGAGGGAGGACTCAGGGCGGCTTACACAAGGCACAATTCGATGCCAACATAAACATAAACAATGGATAAAACAAGTATATAGCAATTATAACAATTAAACAGTCACTTTATACAACAAAATCAATAAAACCAGTCAGTACTCAGCGTTCACCATCTCAGAGTCCATAAATTCATTCCATATTGTCTAGTCATCATTGTCGTTGTCTAATTGCCAGATTGCCCGAAAGCCTGGTCCCACAACCATGTTTTTAATTTCCTTCTGAAGGAGAGGAGGGATGTCGATGACCTGATTTCCCCGGGGAGTGAATTCCACAGGCGGGGGGCCACTGCCGAGAAGGTCCTGCTCCTCATCCTCACCAACCTCACTTGTGATAGCGGTGGGATCGAGAGCAGGGCCTCCCCAGAAGATCTCAAACTCCGAGGTGGGACGTAGAGAGAGATGTGTTCGGACAGATACGCTGGGCCGGAGCCGTATAGGGTTTTGTAGGTCAAAACCAGCACTTTGAATTGTGCTCGGAACTGGATCGGCAGCCAGTGGAGCTGACATAACAGAGGGGTGGTATGCTCCCTGTATGACGCTCCGGTGAGTAATCTGGCTGCCTCCCGCTGGACTAATTGAAGTTTCCGAACAGTCTTCAAAGGCAACCCCACGTAGAGTGTGTTGCAGTAATCTATTTGGGATGTAACAAGAGCGTGGACCACTGTGGCCAGATCTGGCTTCCCAAGGTATGGCAGGCATCCTCAGAGGTAGTGCACTTGCGGACTGCCTGTATAGAAAACACACACACGTATACAGATACACGCGCATGCAGACGCACATACACAGATGCTAATATATATATTAGTTTTGGATAGCATAGGGAAGGGCATACTGTATATACTGTATAGCCCCTTTTTTAGGCTGAAAAAGCCCCCCTCAACTTATACTCGAGTCAAGGTTATTTATTATTTTACTCCGTTATTAGTATTAATTTATTATTTAATCTTTTACTCTATTTGTAATTATTATTACATTTACTTTATTTTACTTTACGGGCGCCTCACCGGGAAGGTGTAAGTCAGTGTTTCTCAACCTGGGGGTCGGGACCCCTGTGGGGGTCGCGAGGGGGTGTCAGAGGGGTCGCCAAAGACCATCAGAAAACATAGTATTTTCTATTGGTCATGGGGATTCTGTGTGGAAAGTTTGGTCCAATTCTATCGTTGGTGGGGTTCAGAATGCTATTTCATTGTGGGTGAACTATAAATCCCAACAACTACAACTCCCAAATGGCAAGGTCTATTTTCTCCAAACTCTACCAGCGTTCACATTTGGGCATATTGAGTATTTGTGCCAAGTTTGATCCAGATCCATCACTGCTTGAGTCCACGGTGTTCTCTGGGTGTAGGTGAACTACAATTCCAAAAAACTCAAGGTCAATGTCCACCAGACCTTCCCAGTATTTTCTCTTGGTCATGGGAATTCTGTGTGCCCAGTTTGATTCAATTCCATCATTGGTAGAGTTCAAAGGTAGAGTTCTTTGATTTTAGGTGAACTATAAATCCCAGCAACTCCAGCATTACCAAATGACAAAATCAATCACCCCCAACCTCACCAGTATTCAAATTTGATGTGTATTGGGTATTTGTGCCAAATTTGGTCCAGCGACTGAAAATACATCCTGCATATCAGAAATTTAGATTATGATTCATAACAGGAGCAAAATTACAGTTGTGAAGTAGCAATGAAAATAACATGGTTGTGGGTCACCACAACATGAGGACCTGTACTAAGTGGTCACGGCATTAGGAAGGTTGAGAACCACTGGTGTAAGTGAAGGGCAGAGCAAGCTGCAGACTTCTGGAGTGCCCGTGGTATGGAAAAAAGAGATAAGAGTGGCTCTGGGCCCGGACAAACACACCTCTTTTACCTGTCTGGCCCGCCCTTGTATCCTATTACCGTCCCTCCTTCTCTGCCTCTCAGATCTCGCTCCTGAAGACTGCAGGTGCGCAGGCGCGAGATCTGAGAGGCAGAGAAGGAGGGACAGTAATAGGAAAATTACCATATTCAAATCAAATCTGATGCTTTTTAAATTTTTATTTGGTGTGTGTTGTAAGACGGGTAGTCTTATGCAGTGAATATATCCCAAACTCTATATATCAGGGGTCCTCAAACTTTTTAAACCAGGGGCCAGTTCACTGTCCCTCAGGCCATTGGAGGGCCGGACTATAGTTTTTTTAAAAAAAATCAATTAAAAAATTCCTCTGCACATGGCAGATATCTTATTTTGCTGTGTGGAAGGGTTCTTTCTCGCCCTCTTTAGGCAATAATTCCAGGAGCAGAGAATGGGAAATCTTCCTCTTTCTAGTCTGAACAAAATCTGGCTAACAGGATTTAAAAAAAAACTCTAAAAATTATTGTAAATAAAGAACAACACTCAAACACGGGGGAACTCCAGACAAGAAACAACCAGGGCCAGCTAATCACCTCTCAACAAAGCATTCTCCCTAAAAACGGTCAGGGTATGAAATGGTCATCAAGGTGGCCAAGTGAAACATTCATACCCACCTCCAACAGACAAGAGTTCTTTCTCCCACCCTGGATCTTCCACAATTGTCCTGGTTAAAGGTTTTCCTCTGACATGAAGCCCAGTCGTGTCTGACTCTGGGGTGTGCTGCTCATCTGCATTTCTAAGTCAAAGAGCCGGCGTTGTCCGTAGACACCTCCAAGGTGATGTGGCCAGCATGACTGCATGGAGCGCCTGGGCAGCATGAACCTGCCAAGGGAGGAGCAGCCTCGTGAGGTGCTTTACGCGCGAGTAGGCCACACGGAGCAGCTGCCCTTGGGTGGCTCACACTGCCCATCGGGCCTGACAGATAGCGTGAGCCAGCCAAAGGAGGGGCACTGTGTGTGTGTGGGGGGGTGCTCCTCCTCCACGGGCCGGATAAGTGCCCTCGGAGGGCTGGAAGTGGCCCGCGGGCCGTAGTTTGAGGACCCCTTCTATATATTAATTGGAAAAGTTGGGGGTCGTCTTATACACCCAGTCGTCTTATATGCATGGGTACATACATGGGTACATACAAATCCAACTTAAGAAGAAGCCATCCTAATGTTGAATCCTGGCTTGGGTGTGGCACGAACTCACTAGAGTTTTCTTTCTTTCCTCCGCCAGAACACGCCTCCCTGGAGAGCTCCTCCGGGTGGGTCCCGCTCCTGCTCTGCCTGCTGCACGAATCCACCGACACTCATTCCCGCTGGGCGCCTTACCTGTCCCTCTGGCCCGGCTTCAGCAGCCTGGACCTCCCCATGTTCTGGTAAGAGACGCGCGGTACTCTCTCCCATGCGTGTCCAGCCTCCTCTTAGGAACCGGCTCCCCATCTTTGAGAGGACAGGAGTATGTCTTCTCTGCCTCTCAGCCCTTCCTTATGAGCCACAGTAGAGGATGTCTCACACATACAGAATAGTTTTTAACTGGGTGTATATGTGTGTATCTATATCTGTATCTCCTATTGTGATTTTCCAAAGCCACACTCTCTCGGCTTCCGAGGAAAGCTGGGGCAAACTTCAAATATGCTTTAATGGTAATTATTTTAATTATTTCCAACATTTATTGGATGTATTTTTGTAGAATTTCGAGATCTTTTGCGGTGTAATGTACCATCTATGTATCTAGGTTCTTGTGGGTTTTTTCCGGCTATATGGCCATGTTCTAGAGGCATTTTCTCCTGACGTTTCGCCTGCATCTATGGCAAGCATCCTCAGAGGTAGTGAGGTCTGTTGGAACTAGGAAAAAGGGTTTATATATCTGTGGAATGACCAGGGTGGGACAAATGACTCTTGTCTGCTGGAGCTAGGTGTGAATGTTTTTTTTTGTAGGTTTTTCTGGGCTATATGGCCATGTTCTAGAGGCATTTTCTCCTGACGTTTCACCTGCATCTCTGGCAAGCATCCTCAGAGGTAGTGAGGCCTGTTGAAACTTCGAAAATGGGTTTATATATTTGTGGAATGACCAGGGTGGGACAAAGGACTCTTGTCTGCTGGAGCTAGGTGGGAATGGGTTGTTGTAGGTTTTTTTGGGCTATATGGCCATGTTCTAGAGGCATTTTCTCCTGACGTTTCACCTGCATCTCTGGCAAGCATCCTCAGAGGTAGTGAGGCCTGTTGAAACTTCGAAAATGGGTTTATATATTTGTGGAATGACCAGGGTGGGACAAAGGACTCTTGTGGAATCACTGGGTTGTTGTAGGTTTTTACGGGCTATATGGCCATGGTCTAGAGGCATTCTCTCCTGACGTTTCACCTGCATCTCTGGCAAGCATCCTCAGAGGTAGTGAGGTCTGTTGGAATTAGGACAATGGGTTTACATATCTGTGGAATGACTGGGGTGGGACAAAGAGCTCTTCTCTGCTGGAGCTGAGTGTGATTGTTTCAACTGACCACCTTCATTAGCATTAGAAGGCCTGGCTGAGCCTGGGGAATCTTTTGTTGAGAGGTGTTAAGATGTGCCTGGTTGTTTCCTCTCTGCTGTTTTGCTGTGGTAATTTTTGAGTTTTTTAATACTGGTAGCCAGAGTTTTTTAATACTGGTAGTTAAAAAACTCAAAAATTACAACACAAATATATACACACACATATACAAACACATATACACAGACTGGGCCACAGCAACGTGTGGCAGGGGACAGCTAGTATAATAATAATAATTGATACATGGCCGCTTTGAGCCTCCTTAGGGAGAGATAAAGAGGGGTATGAATAAATAAAATAACAACAACAACAGATACGCAGCTGCCTCTTTGGGAGAGATAAAGCTGAATAATAATAATAATAATAATAATAATAATAATAATAATAATAATAGATGGCCGCTTTGAGTCTCCTTCGGGAGAGATAAAGCAGGGTATAAATAAGTATAATAATAATATTTGTTTATAGAATCCTAGAATCAAAGAGTTGGAAGAGACCTCCTGGGCTATCATCCAGTCCAACCCCATTCTGCCAAGAAGCAGGAATATTGCATTCAAATCACCCCTGACAGATGGCCATCCAGCCTCTGTTTAAAAGCTTCCAAAGAAGGAGCCTCCACCACACCCCGGGGCAGAGAGTTCCACTGCTGAACGGCTCTCACAGTCAGGAAGTTCTTCCTCATGTTCAGATGGAATCTCCTCTCTTGTAGTTTGAAGCCATTGTTCCATTGCGTCCTAGTCTCCAAGGAAGCAGAAAACAAGCTTGTTCCCTCCTCCTCCCTGTGGCTTCCTCTCACATATTTATACATGGCCATCATCATATCTCCTCTCCGCCTTCTCTTCTTCAGGCTAAACATGCCCAGCTTCTTCAGCCGCTCCTCATAGGGCTTGTTCTCCAGACCCTTGATCATTTTAGTTGCCTTCCCCTGGACACATTCCAGCTTGTCAATATCTCTCTTCAATTGTGGTGCCCAGAATTGGACACAATATTCCACGTGTGGTCTAAGCAAAGAGGAATAGAGCATGGGGAGCATGACTTCCCTAGATCTAGACACTATGCTCCTATTGATGCAGGCCAAAATCCCATTGGCTTTTTTTGCCGCCATCTGCAAAGAGGTTGCCCATGTTCACCTTCCTCCCCACGAGGACTCCAAGATCTTTTTCACACGTGCTGCTCTCGAGCCAGGCATACTCCACTTTATCTCCCCAAAGGGGACTCGCAGCGGCTAGACCTAAAAGCATTAGCCTACAATTTAAAATATACAAGAATGCAAACATTAAAATAGAATTAAACACAAAGAGCACTAAAAAAATTCACAATAAAAATCCATAAAAACAGTTTAAAAGCACAGCACCTCCTGAGTAGATCTTCAACACCTTAATCTTCCACTGCCGAACAGCTCTCTCTCACAGTTAGGGAGTTCTTCCTCGTGTCTATTTATATCCTGCTTTTTCTCTCTATAAGGCAGTGGTTCTCAACCTTCCTAACGCCGTGACCCCTTAATACAGTCCCTCATGTTGTGGTGACCCCCAACCATAACATTGTATTTGTTGCTCCTTCATAACAGTCATTTTACTACAGTTATAAATCATCATGTAAATATGATATGCAAGATGTATTTTCATTCACTGGACCAAACTGGGCACAAATACCCAATGCAACCACATGTAAATGCTAGTGGGGTTGGGGGAGGATTGCTTTTGTAATTTGGGAGTTGTAGTTGCTGGGATTTATAGTTCACCTATAATCAAAGAACATTCTGAACTGCACCAGAGATGGATTTGAACCTAATTTGCCACACAGTGTTGCGGAACATACGTTACCCAAGATCATTTAGAGCACAATCAAGTAGGAAGGAGACGGAGACAGCAATTGATTCCAGGCAAATTTACTATCAAGGTTGATAGGACGTTCAGAAACAATATCTGAAGCGCACAGAAGTCAGACAGGTTACAATATTTATAGCAGAAGTCCACTGGTTCGGGCATGCGTAGAAATGTCTTGACATTTACACAGTTATAATCATTAACAGAGGTCCTTTACGTATTGCCTTTAGCCCTACACCAAGATGACATGTTATAATGACGTACTTCTAATTGTTTCAAATCTTCATTATTCCCATAATCGTAGTTCACTAGAATTGATTCCTTTATAGACTATATCTGAAGTTGCCTGCTATTTACATCAACTGAACCAGCAGATGACGCCATCTGACCTTTAGATGTTCCAGCCTATTGTTTTACCTTGAGATTTACTTTAGTACACAGGTGTATCGTTTGCCAAGAACATTCCTTTGGCAATGACGACAAACACATCAATTACTATTGTTTCCCAAAATGTCAGGTTCCATTAATATTTAACTTCCTTGAGCCTAACCCATGAAGCTAAGTCAACATTCAGTTTCATCTATGGAACAAATCACTTCTCTATTGATTTTCCCTTTGCCGCAAAATTCTCTTTCGTTCAGTATTAGAAGGTAAGTTTTCCTATATTCATTTTAAATACATTTTTATAATTATTTTCTTGTACTGACCGCTACAACAGAACTCCCATGACCAACAGAAAACACTGGAAAGGTTTGGTGGGTATTGACCTTGATTTTGGGAGTTGTAGTTCACCTATATCCAGAGAGCACTGTGGATTCACGCAATGATGGATCTGGACCAAACTTGGCACAAATACTCAATATGCGAAAATGTGAACACTGGTGGAGCCTGGGGAAAATAGACCTTGACTTTTGGGAGTTGTAGTTGCTGGGATTTATAGTTCATTACAATCAAAGAGCATTCTGAACTCCACCAATGATGGAATTGAACCAAACATGGCATACAGGACTTCCATAACCAACTGAAAATACTGGAAGGGTTTGGTGAGCATGGACCTTGATTTTGGGAGTTGTAGTTCACCTACATCCAGAGAGCACTGTGGACTCAAAAAATGATGGATCTGGACCAAACTTTATAGTTCATTACAATCAAAGAACATTCTGAACTCCACCAACGATAAAATTGGCTCAAACCCCCCACATGGAATCCCCATGACCATCAGAAAATACTGCGTTTTTTTATGTTCTTTGGTGACCCCTCTGACACCCCTTCGCGACCCCCTCAGGGGTCCTGACCCCCAGGTTGAGAAACACTGCTATAAGGAGAATCAAAGAGGCTAACATTCATTGATTCATTCCTTGATTCTTTCTCTCTTCCTTTCTTTCTGCCCAGGAGCCGGGAGGAGCGGAAGCGGCTGCTGCAAGGGACGGGGGTCTCGGAGGCGGTGGAGCGAGACCTGTCCAGCATCCAGGAGGAGTTCTCCTCGGTGGTCCTGCCCTTCATGAAGGCCCACCCGGACCTCTTCAACCCCAAAGTGCACACCCTGGAGCTCTACAAGCGGCTGGTGGCCTTCGTCATGGCCTACAGGTGAGGAGGGAAGAGGGGCATCAGCCACTTAAGAGAAGCTGGGCCCTACCTCTCTATCCCTTCAGAAGGCAACCCCAGAACCCCCGAGGCAGGCACAGGCTGTTGCACTCCAGGCCAGGAAAGCCCTCTGACTTTAAACACTACACAGCTGAGTAGAGATGCAAGCAGTTTATTGAAGATATTTTAAAAGCAGTAGCAGTAAAAAACACTCCATAAAAATAGGTTAATAATAATAATAATTGTGAAGAAGCAGGGGAGCGGAGGGATGATTTATTGTTGTCACCAATTTGAAAGGAACCAGTATTCAGGAGATTTTACCCCAGTTCCCAATTTAAAAAGAACTGGCCGATTTGCAATGGAGGTTGCCGATTAGGAACCAAATTTACCATCAAGTTGGAAGGGAGGCTGTTCAATTGCACCTCCTCCTTTATTAAGAAAGTAATAACTTAGTAGTAATTACACTGTATATAATGTAGCGTGACTGGAGAGAAGAATGTAGATTTATTTGGTTACTTTTCCCTGCGTTTCTGCCACCACGTGAGGTAAGTTGTAATATTGTGAGAAATGGCACTTGGTACACAGAATAGACGGAGCTGAGGCAATCTTCAAATAAAAGTTAACAATTTTATTAAGTACACAGCGTGTGGTTGCAAGACGTAACTTTTCCTTGTTGCACTTGGAATAATACTTGTAACTTTAACAGTTCATTCTTTCAAGTAACACAGTATCTTTCTGACGTAGAGCACTTGTTTCAGACAAAGTTTCAATACAGGGATGTTTCCCTTATTTGATCCTCCCTAGATCAAATACTAAGTAAACTATTCTTTAGCCTCTCCTTAGACTAAAAGAATACCAGCTATGTTTCACCATTCGGCTGCACTAGCCTGAGAAACTTCCAATAGCCAAACCCAGCTTTTCAAAGCCTCAAAGCTTTGCTTCACAAGTCACTCCGCCACCTTTCCTTTCCTTCTCTCCCAACTCCTAACTCCTCACTCCTCTGAACCTAACTCCTGACTGCTCACTCCTCTAAACCTAAACCCTAACTGATTTTTAACTGTCGTTTTTTCAAACTCTCCCCTCTAAGCTCCTCCCACTTCCCTCTCTCCTGCATCGGTCTCCATGGCAACGCACATGGAGGACTCCTCTGACTTAGGCCGCTCCAACCTTACTGCAGCCAATCTAAACACAAATACAGTTAAAATCATACAATTTATAATCAACTCCTGTACAATAATATAATATAATATAATAACAACACTTTATTTATACCCCGCTACCATCTCCCCAAGGGACTCGGTGTGGCTTACATGAGGCCGAGCTCAAAATACAACAATACAAGCAATAACAATAACAATACAAACAATTTAAAATAACAAAACAATCAACCAATAACACATGCAATCTATATATATAAAAATGCTCTGTGCGTCATGAGTACCTTAAAAGCAAAAGAAGCAATGAACGAAATCACACCAAATGTGGCAACAAAACATCTAACAACACAAAGGAGTGACCATCATTCAAAAAATTATGACTTTGTCATTCGGGAGTTGTAGTTACTGGGATTTATAGTTCAACTACAATCAAAGAGCATTCTGAACTCCATCAACGACAGAATTGGACCAAACTTGGCACACAGAACTCCCATGACCAACAGCAAATACTGGAAGGGTTTGGTGGGCATTGATCTTGAGTTTGGGAGTTGTAGTTCACCTACATCCAGAGATCACTGTGGACTCAAACAATGATGGATCTGGACCAAACTCTACACGAATACTCATTATGCCCAAATGTGAACACTGGTGGAGGTTGGGGAAAATAGAATCTTGACATTTGTGAGTTGTACTTACTGGGATTTATAGTTCACCTACAATCAAAAAGCATTCTGAATCCCACCAACGATAGAATTGGGCCAAACCTCCCACACAGAACCCCCATGTGGGCCACAGCAACGCGTGACAGGGGACAGCTAGTATCAATATAAATCCAATTAGGTGGAAAGATTATTTATTTATTTATTTATTTATTTATTTACAGCATTTATATTCCGCCCTTCTCACACCGCAGAGGACTCAGGGCGGATTACAATGTACACATATACGGCAGAAATTCACTGCCATAGACACACAACATATATAGACAGACACACAGAGGCTATTTAACATTCCAGCTTTTTTCAGGAGGGTATTCTGGCCACCAGGGGCGCTGTCGCTTCACCGTCCATTTGTGACACTGATGGAGTACTTCCTCATTCTTCGCATGCTAGCTGGAGATTTCTATGGTGTTGTAAATTAGCCTTTAGATACACTATTTACTCTAATCTAGTGCTTTCCTTTTATTTATTTATGTATTTATTTACGGTATGTATATTCCGCCCTTCTCACGCCGCAGGGGACTCAAGGTGAATTACAATGCACATATACATGGCAAACATGCACTTCCATAGACACACAAAATATATATAGACAGACATACAGAGGCTATTTAACATTCCAGCTTTTTTTCATGAGGTTATTCTGGCCACTAGGGGCGCTGTCGCTTCACCGTCCATTTGTGACACTGATGGAGTATTTCCTCATTCTTTTCATGCTTGCTGGAGATTTTTTATGGCCTCGTAAATCAGTATATTAGCACCAGGGGAGCTGTCGCTTCACCGTCCATTTGTGACACTGATGAAGTACTTCCTCATTCTTTGCATGCTAGCTGGTGATTTTTATGGCGTTGTAAACAGCCTTTAGATACACTATTTAATCTAGTGCTTTCCATTTATTTATTTATTTATTTATTTATTTACAGATATTTTAATGGCGTTTTAAATTAGTCTTTAGATACACTATTGAATCTAGTGCTTTCCTTTTATGTATTTATTTATGTATTTATTTGCAGAGATTTTTATGGCATTGTAAATTAGCCTTTAGATATACTATTTAATCTAGTGCTTTCCTTTTATTTATTTATTTGCAGAGATTTTAATGGCGTTGTAAATTAGCCTTTAGATACACTATTTACTCTAATCTAGTGCTTTCCTTTTATTTATTTATGTATTTATTTACAGAGATTTTTATGGTGTTGTCAATTAGCCTCCCCACATAAGCGGTACCTAAATTTCCTACTTGACAGATGCAACTGTCTTTTGGGCTGCAAAGGTCGACAGCAAGCTACACAAATTGGTCGGAAGCTCACTCCGACCCGGGCTGGCTTCGAACTCATGACTTTTTGGTCAGAAGTGATCTTAATGCAGCTCCCAGCCAGCTTGCGCCACAGTCGCGGTGCAGGAACAAAGAGTCCAGGAAATTAATCCATCAAAATTCATGAAAAACAAATACAGAAACTTCCAAGGTAATGTTAATGGAATGGCGACGATCTCAGCACACACAAGGCACTGACACACATCTTATTAAACTTAAGCTACTTTATTAAATACAAAACTAAATAAAGTAGTTTAAGTTTAAAAAGATGTGTTTCAGTGCCTTGTACAGGTTCCACAGGTATGCACAGCAAAAGCGTGCTGGGCCCATAACCAATTGTCAATGGAATGGCAATGATCTCAGCACACACAAGGCACTGAAACGCATCTTCTTAAACTAGAGCTACTTTATTAAACACAGAACTAAAATAATATTCACACTAGAAGCTAAGCAGAACAAGAAACAGCTTGAGCAGCTACATGGCTCGGCTTTTCGTTGTAATCTAGAATCAGGCACCTCCTTACATTCCACAGTGATGTGATGATGTGTGACGTACAATGGCAACACAGCGTACAACACTTTCTGCACTGAGATTTACAACTCCTTCTTCATGATACAGTTAACCCTTTCCACACAGGAATTGCATCTCCGGAACACTGCATTACAAAGCATCACATTTCTAAGCACATAAACACTAACTTTGAAAACTACAATACAGTTAATCAAAACACACACATATATTCTCAACAGGTAAAACTCCAAAACTTGAATCATGAATCAACAAAGGCACTTAAACACGTGAATCTATCCACGGCAATACTTCCAAGGACCAGGAAAAATGTCGTGATTCAATATCAATGTTGCTTCGTCTGACTACAGATTCTGTGCTTGGCACTTTTTATCCCCTAATCTACTCATTGACCCAAGCGGCCAGAAACGGATTTAGTTTCAGCTTTGACTCTGTTATCAATCTCTCTCTCAGTCTGGCAGAACGCCTGAGAGATTGGGTTGTTTGCCTGTGCTGACTAAAAACATGCCTTCTATCTATTGGCTCATTTATTTCAGGTGCCGAGCTAATCTCAGGCTCCAAATCATGGGAATTCTCTAGTAGCCATTCAGGGACCACACCAACCATCATCCCCAAACCTTTCAGGAACACATTCTCATCAGAAAAGACACTTTGAACAGGAATCCCATCTAGAGCAACTTCATCATTACCTACATGAAGCTCATTGTCATTCCCAACATCCAGAGTACTCTGATCAGTAGACACAACCACAGGCTCAACTCCAACATAGGCCAACTTGGCGTTTTGGACTTCAACTCCCACAGTTCCTCAGTTTCCTGGCTTTCCAAGCCTCCCAGCTTTTCTGCCCTTTTGTAATGCCTTGATTATTGGACTATTTATTATTATTTTACTAATACTCTGATATATTATTTTATATTATTACTATTTTGTAATTTTGTTGTTTCGACTCTCTCAGTGCCCCCCCCCCCCGTCTAAACCTTTCTCTGGCTTGTAATTTTCCATTTTTTTTCTCGAGGGGGTCACCCCAAGAGAAGGGCAATGTGGGTCTCCCCCTCAAAAACATGGTAGTATATGTATTTCCTTACGACTAGTTTCCAGGAACCTTTGGATGACGAAGAGGAAGGCGAGCCCAATCCTCCCGTGATGGTGCCCCTGGCGGACCTCCTCAACCACGTGGCCAACCACAACGCCAACCTGGAGTACTCCCCGGTAAGCCTTGTTTAATGGATAGACTTGTTACAAGGCCTTTAGTGCATGCATGGACCAACTTTGGCCCTCTGTCCAGGTGTTTGGACTTCAACTCCCACCATTCCTAACAGTGTCAGGTCTTTTCCTTTTCACCCTTATTATTATTATTATTATTATTACATTTACATTATTTTACTCTATTATTATTACATGTATTATTTTTCTCTATTTATTATTATTACCTTAATTACTTTATTCTTATTATTAAATATATTATTTTACTATTTATTGATATTACACATTATTTTACTCTATTATTATTATTACATTAATTTTATTCTATTATTACTGTTATTACATTTATTATTTTATTCTATATGTATTATTTTTTGCTATTTATTATTATTACATATATTACTCTAGTTATTATTATTACATTTATTTATTTTGCTCAATTATTGTTATTGCATTTATAGTTTTACTCTGGTGTTATTATTACATTTATTATTTTTTGCTATTATTACACTTATTATTTTACTCTATTATTGTTATTACATATATCTTACTCTATTATTACTGTTATTACATTTATTATTTTACTCTATTATTATTACATTTGTTATTTTACTCTATTATTAAATTTATTATTTTACTCTATTTTACTCTATTATTACATTTATTATTTTACTGTATTGTTATTATTACATTTCCATTATTTTATTCTATTATTACTTTTATTATTACACTTACTATTTTATTCTGTTATTGTTATTACATATATTTTACTCTATTTTACTGTTAATTACATTTGTTATTTTACTCTTATTATTACATTTATTATTTTACTCTATTTTACTCTATTATTATTGTTACATTTCTTATTTTACTCTATTATTATTACATTTATTACTTTTCTCTATTATTGGTATTATTTTAATCTATTATTATGTTTATTATTTTACTCTATTGTCATTACATTTATTTTTACTCTGTTTTACTCTATTATTGTTACATTTTACTCTATTACTATTACATTTATTATTTTACTTTATTATTATTGTTGCATTTATTATTTTAATCTATTACTAGGTTTGTTATTTTACTCTATTATTATATTTATTATTTTACTCTATTTTATTCTATTATTATTGTTACATTTATTATTTTAATCTATTATTGCATTTATTATTTTATTGTATTGTTATTATATTTCCATTATTTTACTCTAGAGGTTCTTGTGGGTTTTTTTGGGCTAGAGGGCCATGTTCTAGAGGCATTTCTCCTGACGTTTCGCCTGCATCTATGGCAAGCATCCTCAGAG